CTGACTCCCAGTCAGTCAGCTCACCTTTTCATGGCCATCTTCAGTTATCACCTTCTGAACTCAGTTACTATGCCATTGACAGCATTAGCATGCACATTTTTGAAGTATTTATGAAGCCAGGCTCATGATATGCCCACATTGTAACTAGTGTACCCAGTATTACACTAAAATATGTGACTTCTATGAGTCTGTGAAGGTTAACTATGGTGATCTAAAGTTTTGCAGTTGTAGTAGATATAAGTTAATCAGGTCATATAATGTAACAGGTCACAGAATATGGTGTTACACCATTACGCAACGATGTGGCCAACAGAACTGAGTGATGAGGCAGTAAATAGACATTGTTGTAGCATTGGCTATAACTGATGTGCTAATTGAAGTCAGAGAAAAGTGATAATTGCTGGGTGTGGACTATGACACCATCACCAGTGCACACATTGAAAGATAAAGACTCACACCAGTGCAAACAAATGCTCTTTGAGTTCATTTCTTCCATGTGTTTTTTTAGTGTTTTTATCAAATCTAGTCAAAATTGAATATATCAATCTAAAGTTAAACAGAAATACTAGCAAACTAAAAGTATGTCATTGTTACATTTTATAATAACTTGTTACATAAATCAAACTAAGTATTTTCCATTGGGTTCGTTAGACCAGTTTATTCAGAGTTTCTTTGCATTTACACCAGATAGCACCAGAGAGCTGCATCACTTTCTCAGTGATCTGTCTTGCTTACACACCTTTCAGTATCTAGCACTGTGCACAAAAACACTTCACAATGGATCAAGAATCACTTCCAGATTACCTGTTAATATGTCTAAGCAGGTTATCGTTCCAGGTTTCACAAACGGTCTCCTACCTTCGGATAGAAGGTCCAGACATTACCAGCAAAACGCAGCCAAAGTCTCCTCACGAGCAATTAAAGCCTATTTCTCTGTGCTTCACCCTCACCCCAGAGTGCACTACCAGGACAGACTGCCAGACGGAGGCTTTATATAGACGAGGTGGGGGAGGTGCAGGGGCAGTGGGTATGCCTGGTACACAGAAAACTGAGATGAGGTTATTTCCCCGAAGTCTCAACGGCGGTGTCGTGTGTCCTGCTGGATTTGAGCACACGTGAATTTGAAGAATGAAAGTTTCTACTGTTTAATATTCAACGAGTAAAAAAGCAGCTCAGTGAATATGTTTAAAAAGCTCTGATTAAAGTTTTAACGCTTTTTGCTTTGTACAAATAACAAAAAAAAAACATACAGACAAAATTTAAACTCAAATCAGTAGAAAGTCCTGTTTAACTCTTTATTTCTCTAAATCCTTATAATTGATAGAATAGAAGATGTTTCATACTGTATATTCAGTAAACTGTATGCATCCAAGTCCAAGGATAGCTAACATGTCGGGCCTTAATTTCCATGGTACCACTTGTGACTATATGTCTTTCATTCATTGTGGAACTATATCCCAACTGTTCTTCATCAGAGAGTGGGGGAGGAGTGGGCTTCACCAGGGGAAATGCCCTGACTTAATCCCTCTGGAGCATTATCACCCTTTGGTGGCAGGACAGGGAGACTCCCCATGTGAGTGATCTGGTGGCTCAGTTTGGTCG